ACCCTGCAACACCTCAGCCCTGGGAACGTTTATAGTCCAAATTACAGTAGTGTACCAATTGTTTATTTGTTCACCTATTTAAAGCATTTTGTTTGCTTGCAGTTTTAAACTATTATAAGGTACTGTGAATAATTATGTAGTTTTGTGTGTATGTGTAAGACATAAGTTTTCATTTCTCTGAAATGCCTAGGATTGAGACTGCTTAGTCAATAGTAAGTGTATTTTTATTAAGAAGCTATTATACCATCTTCCAGTGTTTACATCTAGCAATATTTAACATCTCATTTCTGATCTTGCATAGCATTTGGTATGTTAAGTATTTTTTACTTTCATTATTCTCATATGTATGGAATATCTCATTATGATCTTAATTTGCATCTCCTTAATGACCAGGATGTTGAACAACATTGCATGTTTATTTACCATCTACAAATGCTCAATTTACAATGAAACACTGCCCACTCATTGTAAACTGAAAATATCAGTAAGTCAAAAAATGCTATTAAATACATTTAACTTATCATTATCACAGCTAAATCTAACCACACTCAAATGAGCTCCAAACACATTAGCTTTCAGTTGGACAAAATGATCTAACAGAGCCTATTTCATAATAACTTGGATACCACATATAATTTATTGAATGCAGTATGTACACTGCAGAGTCTTAACTGGTTACCCTTGTGACTGTGTGGCTAAGAGCTGCAGCTTGCTGCTGCTGCCTAGCAATGAGCGTGTCTTCCTATGTATCATTAGCCCTGGAAAAGATCAAGATTCAAAGTAAGATTTCTACTTAATGTGTATAGCTTTGGCACCATCATAATGTCAAAAAACTCAAAAGTCTAGGATGGGGCTGGAACTTAGTGGCAGAGTGGTTGCCTAACATTTGAGTGGAAATTAGGTAATACAGTGCTTGCCTAATGCGTGCAGTGCCCCAGGTCTGATCCCCAGCCTGGCACAACAGCCAAGAAAATGTCAGGCCATCATAAACTGAAGACTGTCTGTAGTTGCTGAACAATTGGATTATTTTGTATGTTTCATGACTTGTGGTTAAGTCAACTAAATTGTCTAATTTGTGTAGGAATTTATTATATTATCCTTTCGGTGGCCATCAGGTCTATAATGATATTGCCTGTTTGTTGTTGTTGTTTTTGGTACCGGGGATCGAACTCGGCATGCGAGGCAAGTGGCGGCACCACTGAGCTAAATCCCCAGCCCCTGTTTCATTTCTAATAGTGCTAATCCATTTTTCTGTTAATCTCACTAAAGGTTTGCAGATTTTGTTCTTTTTTAAAACAAAACAGGTTTTTGTCTTGTGGATTTTGTTTTCAATTTCTGCTCCTCTTCCTTACCCTTTCATTTGCATGCTGCTACTGCTCAGCAGCATGAGAAAGTATCCTACAGCATGAACCACTAGCCTAGAATATAAATCCAATTGTTTTAGATTTATTTTGTCATTTTTCAAGTTTCTTGGAGGGGTTTGAGCCTTTTTAAATCTTATCTAACATAAGAACGTATACATGGCTTTCTTAGCACTTCTTTGGCTAAGTCCCACAAATTTGTTTTTAGATCCACAAATTTTGATATTTTAGTCTTTTTCTTTCCATTCATTTACTTTCTAAATTCCTCTTAAAACTTCTTTAACAAATGAATTCTTTACAAGTGTGTTTTTTTAACACCCAAGTGTGGAGATTTTCCTATTATCAATTACTGATTTCAAGTTTGATTTCATTTTGTTTGAAAAGCATACTCTGTATTTCAATTATTTCATGTCCATTAATGTTTCATGGTGTATCCTGGTATATGTCCTATAGGTGCGTCTGCATTGTTTTGAGTTAGTGCTCTCTATATATAAGTCAGATACTGTTCATTAATAATGTTGCTTTGTATACCTATTTTCTGCCTAGCTGTTCTATGCGGGGGGGGGGGGGGACGCCTGTTGACGTCTCCAACACTAATTGTGGATTTGTCTACTTCAGCTGTATCAGTTTTTCTCATAGTTTCATGACAATTTATAATTCGGTTGTTCAGTCTGTATTTTCTTCCTGGGTTAATGTTGATCATTATGTAATGTCCCTAAACATCCCTGGTAATCTTTACTGATATCCATTTCATCTCATATTAATAGTCACTCCTGCTTTTTTTTAAATTAAGGATTACATGGAATATATTTCCATCTTTTTACTTTTACACTACTACACTGCTACATTTGAATTGCATTTTTTAAGACAGCATATAGTTGTTTTAAAATCCATTCTTGCCAATCTCTACATTATTGGCATAGAAGCCTATTTAGGTTTACAGTATTGTTATTACAGTATTAGGATCTAAGCCTGACATTGTTTCTTCTATTTTTCCCATTTTTTCTTGTATTCCTGAGTCACCAGAACATTTTTTACAATTCCACTTTGATCTATCTGTAATGATTTTATCAGGTCTTTTATGGTTTTCTTAACAGTTGCTCTAGATATTACATAATTTATATATAACTTATTATAATCTCCTAGTGTGTACATTTTACCAGTTTTAATGAAGTGTAAAAACCTTACTTTCCATGTCCCTTTGTATCCTTATTTCAGTATTTCCTTTATGCACGGTGACAGCTAGATCAGTATAATTTGTTCTAATAGTCAAATGACAGAAAAATCAGGGTTTATTGTATTTATAGTTTTACTCTTTCCATTGTTACATGGCTGTTGTTTCTCTGTCATTGCTCTAAGATTATCATGGTCTGTTTTCCTAATATGGAAAACTTGACTTAGCATTGGTTTTACTGGACTTCATTTTATGGCTTGCTCAGTTTCTTCAATCTATAGGTTAACGTCACTGGTCACATTTGGGGAAATCTTCAGTCATTATTCGAACGTTTTTACGGCCCTTTCTTTTCTCTTCCTACAACACCAATGACACAAATATTCTTTCCTTTTTTATAATAATTCCACAGGGTCCTGAAGCCCTGTCCATTTTTTTTTTCAGTCCGTATTTTCTCCATTGTTCAGACTGAATATTCTAATTTTTATTAGAGATGGAGACGATATGTAGTCCAAGCTGGCATCAAATTCTCAATCCTCCTGCTTCAGCCTTCCCAGCTCTGGGAGTATAAGTGTTTGCCACCACACTTAAAGATAATTTCAGTAGTTTATTCTTCCATCATTTCCACTTTGTTGTTGAGCTTATCAAGTTTTTTCATTTTTAAATTGTGGTTATTTTATAAAATGGAGTACTACTCAAACACAAAGAATGAGAAACTAGAGACATTTATAGCTAAGTGGATGCTCATTGAGGCCATAAGTGAAATAAATAGGACACACATGTGTAAACACTGAATAGTTTCTCTGCTGTGAGAAAATGAAAGTGTAAATGAGGATCAAAATGTATGATAATGTGAAATAGGAAGAAAAGGTCCAAAGGGGAAGGGGAATAATAATGAGGGGTAGGGGTAAGGAAAGTAGGGAAAGGAATAAACATGAAAAAAGGAAAAACTGGAAAACAAAGTCTTTGTAAACAGGGAGGGGCTGCGGGGTTGAAGGGAGGGCAGGGGAAGGGGGAAAAAAACTAAGAACCAGGATATATACATGTAAAGGTACAAATTCCCAGTGATGAATGTCATATTGTATACCTACAATGTACCAATAAACTTAATGAGATTTTTTTTTTAATTGTGGCTATTGTGTTTGTTTCTAAAATTTCTATCTGGTTCTTTCTTGTATCTTCTGTTTATTTCCCAACACTTTCTATTTGCTGAAGCTTTCAATTTTTATTGAAGCATTGGATGATGGTTGTTCTAAAATTGTCAGGTAATTCTAACAGTATTTCCATCTTGTTATCTGGTGATCTTTTTTGTTTCTCAGTCAAGTTGAGAATGGATGATTCTTGGAATGAAATCACTTTTTAATAGAAACGTGGATGCTTAAGGCATTATGAAACTGTAGATCTTATTTAAATCTTCTGTTTAGCAGGCCTCCTGTGACATCAGTTTGGTGGGGAGAAGGGTACTTCACCTGTTTAGTGTTGGGCACAGTTAGAAATCCAGTTTCCTCACTGCTTTGATTGACAATCCTGGGGAGAAACAATACCTGACTTCTCTAGGGCAGGAATGGGCGTTCAGGCTTTAAGAGTAGCAACATGATGGCTTCTTCATTGTTTGGGGTGAAAGTTTTGGTTCCCAGCTCCCAACTTCCCACTGAGTATTTGCTATTAGAGGTGGGGATGGGGTAACAGTAGTACTATTTGGGTAACATCACAATCTTTTACTGTTGGTTTACATTGTTAGTTGTATTTACCAGAAAAAGAAAAAGTATATTTATTCCATATTTCTAGAAGGTACTTCCCAACCACTGTTTTTTTTTTTTTGTATTAAATTCTTTTATTGGTACATTGTAGGTATACAACACAATTACATTTCTCATTGGGAATTGTACCTTTATATAATGCATCTTGGTTCTTATTTTTTCCCCATTCCTAGCCCTCCCTTCACGCCCTCTACCCTTCCCTATTTACAAAGACTTTATTTCCATTTTTTCCATTTCTCATCATTTTTTCCTTTCCCTTCTTTCCTTTCCCCTGCCCCTCCCACTACCCCTACCCCTTTGGACCTTTTCTTACTATTTTACATTATCGATTATTCATTCTAATCATTGGTACATTTTAGGTATACAATATAATGACATTCATCATTGGAAATTTGCACCTTTACATAGTCTCTCTTGGTTCTTATTTTTCACCCTTGCCCAGCCCTCCCTTCAACCCCTCCAGTCCTCCCTATTTACATAGATTTTGTTCCTATTTTTCCATTTTCTCACATTAATCCCATTCCCTTCTATCCTTTCCCCTAGCCCTCCCACTTCCTTCCCCTTTGCCCCTTTTCTTCCTATTTCACATTACCTATTATACATTTAGTCCTTATTTACACTTTCAGTTTCTCACACCAGAGAAACTATTCGCCCAACCAGTGTTTTTAATCCAGTTACTGCAAAACACAATTGCTCACTTCCTTTAGATTGTCCTCACATGCTTTAGAGCACAAAAAGTTCTTTATTAACCATTAATCTTAACACACAGATTAAGCAGGAGTCAAAAATAGCACATATTAATATATTCTACTAGCATCCTCCTTTTTTCCCTCAACTTTAAAATGTTCCATGTAGAACACTAGTTCTCTTTTACAGTAGTAGACATTTGCAGAGAATACAAATTTTGATCTACTTTGCAACTATTTCTGCTGAATCTAAAATGACATTAATTGAAAAAAAAATGTTACTCAGGACAACAAGCAAATTTCTATCAATTTCATTTTAAATGTTCATTTGTGTCAAAGTCAGAGCTGACATTTAAATTTTCCAAATGAATTTTGGTACATTCTGAAAATTGTTTTCGAATTTTCAATTCGATCCATCAAAATACAATGTCACAGCTCTGGTAAACTTTTTTTGTGGCACTTAAGAAATATGAATTGTTTAATAAATTTCTTATGAATATATAAAAGGGGAAAAAATCAATGTTCTCTATTATCTAGTCCTCTACATTTACTTTTAAATCATTCTAAAAATGAAAAATTTGGAAGTATATTTTCTAATCCTTAAAAGTTTTTTTTTGGTACCAGGGATAGAACTCAGGACCTTGTGCTTGCATGGCAGGCGGCAGAACTACTGAGCTAAATAAATCTCTGGCCGTTCTTAAAATTTTAATTCAAAGTACGTTTTGTTTAAGTTTAAATGCCTATTAGATATATTCTGAATTATATATATGCAACACAATTTTTCAGAACATTCCTTATTGACATTTGTTGTGCTATTTACACAATACAGAAAGACATCAATGAGAATTTAGATCCACATGCAGAAAAAAAGAGAACAATTATTAGGAAATAAGTCATAATAAATCAATGGTCCTTAATTTAAATAAAACCGAAGCTTATGGTCAAATTCCTGTCTTAAAAGGTATAAAAGCAGGCAATACAATCATATTTTGGTGCTATGTTTACAGCATTAAGTAGTATTACATTTATAATAAAGCTAATCTTATTTAGCAAATAAGCTTTAGAAAAATAATCTGTGCTGTTGTATTTTGAATTAAAAATTGCATAGCAAAATCCTTTTTTATAGCTTTTGAATGTAATAGACAACACACCAGTATAATATATAGCTTTTGACCAGTACTCTCAAGAGGTTTCCCCTAGCATTTTCCCATTGATGTAATCAGACTAAGAAACAACGATGTTACAGGTTAATCACAGGATTGAAAGTAATTTTGACAATGCTAATCATGAGTAGTTTTCACTGATTTCATAGTAAATTTTACCATAAAGACATAATCACTAATTCACTGAAACCCACACAGGTATTTCTATCGACGCACTAATCAAAGGATACGCAAACCCAGAGTTTCAGCCACAGGCCAGCAAAAACATGCCTTTGCCAGCTTACAACTTGTGAATCGTGTTTAAATATTAATCATACTGGATTTTTGTGTGAACTAATAACACCTGAAGCTTACTAAATGGTCTCTCATTAGAGGCACTTCTCTGTGGTGATACTACAAATGGCTGTTACTACAAATGGCTATTTCCTTGCATTACCTAAAATTGGCTATTCCCTTGAAAGTTAGCTTCTGTTAATCACTCAGACTTGCATTTTACCACTGTCTATGGTAGGGCATCCAGAAAGTAATTAGTTCTTCCCTGCATGCTAAAAGTGTAACCATGAGGTCAATTTTCTGCCTCTCATCTTAGTGAAATTAAAAATAGCACCTTTGTCATATTGTTTCATGAACTTTTGGATCTCCCTCACTATTGACAAGTAGAAGGAGAAACAAAATTAAGAATCTTAAAAGAAATGTGTTGTTTCCCTAGCACCACTGCAGGGACACAAGAATGCCAAAGCATGGCTTCCATAAACTTTGAGACTAAGACTATGAAATTTACAATATAACTGCCTACCTACAAGAGTGAAATTTTAAAAAGGGAAAAAAACTAGACATATGACAGCCTCATTTTCTTTTTTTTTGGTACCAGAGATCGAACTCAGGACCTTGTACTTGCAAGGCAGGTGCAGTACCACTGAGCTAAATCCCCAGCCCAACAGCCTCATTTTCTAAGAAGCATGTAACTACCAGGTTAGAGCTGTTTAAAAAGGTGGGTAGGGTGTGGTAGTGACACCTGTAATCCCAGCTCTCTGGGAGCCTGAGGCAGGAGGACGACAAATTTGAACCCAATCTGGCAATTTAGAGAGACTTCATCTTAAAATAAACATTTTTTCTAAAAGAAGAGCTGGGGATGTAGCTCAGTGCAAAGGCCCTGGGTTCAATCCCCAGCATTGCCCCACTCCCAAAAGGGGTGGGTAAACTGAGGCTTCTGGAGCAGACTCTTTGGATTCCAATCTCAATTCTAACTACTTACAGGCAGGGAGACATTAGACAGATTATTTAATCTCTCTAAACTTGAGTTTCCTGATTTATTTAAAACAAATAATACTTTTATCCATATGATGGAGGAATTAAATGAGAAAAAAATTTCAAAAAATTGCAGTGCCCCCCATGTGTTATGCAATGAACAAGTGCGTTATTATAAGATAATGTGATTGATATTAATGAATTCAATTGTTAGAGCATATAACTTTCTACATACACTGTAAATACATTCCTAAATACCATATGAAAGAAGTGTACAAGTTTTAGTTTTACTTTTCTCTATTTCTATAATAAAGGCTAAATTGAGTTAATAAAATTAAAGCAGAAACTATGTGTGTACAATTTTAAGATTTAAAAGTAACTCCATCACTCCTGTATTTCTCATTTATTCAGTAAATATTTATTCAGAGCCTGGTGCAAGGAGGACACTATGCCCTTTAATTAACACTAGAACACAGTGCTTGCCTCAGCAGCTCATACGCTAACACTGGAACACAAACCTGAACATATTTCAGACTAAAGTTGAACAATGCTAATTGGAAGCACGTCCCTAATTCTTTGCATAGATTTTTTCAATTACAGAAGATTCATTGTCCTAGGGAGAACTATACTAGAGATTCATTAAATCATGCTGCATAAACCTATTTAAATGCCTCTAAGATGAAGAGCCAGGAATAAGCAGGCAGATGTTTTTTCTTTTGACAAATTTAAAGATACACTTTCAGTGATCAAAACTAAACAATAAAAATTTTTAATGTTTGTTTCAGATTAAATTTTGAGGGCTGAGGATTTACCTCAGTGGTTTCGGCACCTGCCTCACAAGTGCAAGGTCCCGTGTTCGATCCCCAGCAGTACCAGAAAAAGAAAGAAAGAAGAGAGAGAGAGAGAGAGAGGAGGGAGGGAGGGAAGGAAGGAAGGAAGGAAGGAAGGAAGGAAGGAAGAAAAATACTATGAGATTAAATTTTGAAGTGGATTATGAGATATTCTAAGGGGGTGGAGTGGAATGAAAGGTCAATAGGATGAGGAGAAATAGCAACTTTAGATACCATGCAAAGGATAAACTGCTGAAATTCTTTATAAAGTTAATAGCTTATTAAAATAAAGAATAAAGGTCTACATGCGTACTGTCCATGAAATATAATGGAGGAGAATAAAAACTTAAAGATGTTAAAAGCAACACATTCCATATAATAATTTAGGGAAGTTATTTTTTCTGTTAAAATATTTTTTCAATTTTGACTTGGCAAATTTTAAATTCTTTTCCTAAAAACAAGGATGAATTTATGAAAGTGAATTTTTCCAGTTTCATCTCCAACATACATACCCTAGTGGTGGGAGGTACAGGACAAAGAAATATAAGGCAGAGTCACGAAGGACACCAGTAAATCTGTATTTATATAAAGACAAAGATATGTAGAGCATAACTGCCTCACTGGGTATGAAGGATCTTCAAAGAGGGACAATCAGGTTAAAAAATCAGGAACCCTAATACTGAATGGATGGAACTGTGAAAAGTGTGGGCGAGGGTGTTCGCGGCCTGTCCTCTATGTGTCAAGGGTAGCTCAGAACACCGGAGGGAGATTAGCGGTTTCGTGCACTGCAATGCTAAGAAACGGCAAAGGTGAGCTGCAGAGGACTGGCATGGATCCAATCACATGACGGTACACAAGGAGATTTGTCTTTTAGAAGGACTTGGGCAATAACACAAAAGACTGTGAGACAGAAGATGGGACTAAGTTCAAAAATAAAACCTTAGCTGTTACACCAGGTATGAGTGGGATGGGAGAGGCGATCAGGGAGATTAATGAGCTTTTAAGAAGGCCAGAAACAAAGGAACAGTGATTCTTGACCAATAAGTGAAAAAGAAAACATCACAATGATTTTTAGGTTTGGGTTTGACTACTAAATACTGGAGAGGAAAACAGTAAGACTGCAGAAGGAGAAGATTAACATTTTAGTATAAACGAGTATGAAAGTATCTGGGAAGTTTATAACACCATTAAATCTAATTATGCTGAAAAACCCCATCAGCTGGAAAGACTGAAAGACTTTCCCAATGTGTCCAATATATAAACTTGGAGTAAGTAGTTTCCTATTTCAGCTTTTCTGCTGCTTAGTATTTGCAGTAAATTTACAATAGGTTCTTAAGTTAATTCATTTATTATCTTCATGAAGTTAATGGAAGCTATTCCATTTTTAATTAACAGTGGTGAAGTTATTTTCTAGAAGTCCTCCAGGGAGATTTTCAAAAGCAGAAAATCAACTTAAATGTTTGAGTAGTTTTTCTGCTTTAAGTTACTGAATTAACTTGTCTTTGGTAGAAAAAATAAATAGCAAGTATTGTCATTTAAAATTTCAATTTACTATATAAACATTTCAGATTATTTTACTTTTTAGCAACATTTTTTTGCTTGTAAACTATTTCAACCTAAACAATTAATGTTGCCAAAAAGAAGATTCCATACTGCACATGAGCTATATATTGTTTTGGGTTACAATATATAGCTATTTTGAATTGAACCAAATTAAATAACAGGTTTGACTCTCTTTTCTCTAAATTCTGTTTAGGTCAGTGAAACTAGCCACTATCATAGCACCCAAAATAATTGTGTCAAATTATGAATTAAATCAAAACAAAAAGCTCTGAGGCCAAGAATAAAGTTAACCAAAAGGAGTTATTTTCTAGTACAATAAAATTCCTATGTGTAGCTGACATGTTTCATAACAAAATACTGTTCTGTTGCAGCAAAATAAAAAGCAGCTTCCAAGTAACTATTTTATGTATGTATTACATGCTAGTAATATTGGTAAACATTAGTTAAGGTATCACCTAATTTTCACTACTAGAATCTTATTTTCTTAGCCGATAACCATGGTACAGATTACTAAAAGCATTTTTTCTAAATCATTGAGTTCTTCCTCAAACTTTAATCCCCAAATCCTTGAAAACTATGTCTTTTACATGGCCATCTGAAGCCCTTCTCTGCTTTTGGTTGCTCTTAACTCTTTTGCCCTGCAAACAGCAGGACACTGGGGCCTGCGGCACAGTGGACACCTAGTCTAGTATACTGCAGCATGATTTTCATATTTCCTTTAGAGTTATGGGCAACTTCCATGTACATCAAAATTTCATTTGATTTGATTATAATTCACTTACAAAATATTTCAGTTATATATGAGATAGAAACTATTCTACTTTTGAAGATACTATCTTAAGGCATTTGCAAAAATAAAAAGTACTTTAATATTTCTAGATTTCAGTCAAAAGAATTATTATTGTAAAGCATTAATAACACATTTTTATGTATTTAACCAGCCATGGATACAAACAAGCTAGTTTAAAAGGAAAAAAATCAAAGACACCAGGAAATCATGAAGCACAGAAGGATTCAGCAGACAGTGCTATTATCATTACAGGGATCTGCAACCCAAAGCATCAGTACATCTACACCTAGAGAAGTCCAACCTCCAGGGCTTATAAAACAGATTCGACAACAAAAATGCTCTACTTAAAGATAAGTAGCACTTTGGCTTGGAGTGGGAAAGACTGGGAGAGTTGCTTTTATAGCAACCATGCTTTGGAGCAATCATATTTTGGTTTTTTTGTTTTGTCTTTTTTGGTATTTGTTTTTGGTTTTGTCTTTTTCGGGTATTGGTAACTGAACCTGGAACCTTACATGTGGTAGGCAAATAAGTGGTCTGCCACTGAGGTACATTCCCCAGCTCTTTTTTTTTTAAAGACAGGGTCTCACAAAGTTGCTGGCCTCAAATTTGTGATCTTCCTGCCTCAGCCTCCTGAATAGTGGAGATTCCAAGTGTACACCACCATACCCAGCTAAAAACAAGGTTTAGTTCCCTGCCTTAAACCATTATTTATGGAAGAAAGATATGTCTTAGTTGCAGAGATTGTAACTACCATTAGCAAAAGCAAAGTATTAGTTTTTCAATACCAGAGAAGGATGAACTTTACATGAAATTGTTACATAAATTTCTTACATACTAAGCAGGACTAGAAAACTTTTTAAGACAAATGGTAAAGACTTTCTTTTTAGTAAGTTCTTTGGTCATAAATAGGTCTTTAGTGACGTGTGTTCTATCACCTATTATTTTGCTGGTGGCTTTTCTGCTACTAACTGATTTTGCTGATGTCCCTTAAAGACCAAGACAAAATTAATTACTCTGGGTTACAACAGCTCACACAATGTATTTCACAAAGTTTACCTTGCTTTAGTACAAAACAATTACATAATTAAAATATACCTTTAGATCTGAGATAGCATATATTATTTATGAAGCTACTGCTGTGCATGTTGCATAAACGTTTCATCTTTTAAAAAATAAAAACTCAGATTCTCTTAAAAGCTGAATCACACAGTCGTTGTACATCTTCCCAAGGCGCTTGATGTAATCTTTTCCATTCATTGGCTCACAGATTCCTGAGTGAAACAAAGCATAAGGAAACATAAATAATGTGTTTGTTATTCCATAAAATCTTACTATCACTTTAGCAAAGCCAAAAAAAAGTACAGGAAAATAGGGGTTACACTCTCCCAGCAGAACAAGGAGCTCTAATATCAATGATCTGAGGAAATTTTGAATCAGTAAAGAAAATTAGCTACTAAAGATAGTTCATACACCACATATATAGGAATATATGAGAATAAAGTTATAAAAGGGCAGTTGGGCCTGGTGCTGCAAGCCTGTAATCCCAGCACTTGGGAGGCTGAGGCAGAAGGACCACCTCCAGTTTGAGACCACCCCAGCCTACATAGTGAGTTCAAGGGCAGCCTAGACGTCACCCTGCCTCAAAAATCTAAAACCAAAAAAAAAAAAAAAAGAGTAAAGAAAGCTACATGAAACACTATAAAAGAAACTAGGGTGATAAAAGGATGCTGTTAATTTTTGTAAAAATATGTATTTTCTCCTGTAATAGCATCGACAAACATATCCAGACACATACTAAATAACTAGGCCCTTTTCTTGGTACCGGGGATCAAACTCGGGACCTTGAGCTTTCGAGGCAGGCACCGGAACCACTGAGCTATATCCCCAGCCCAATAACTAGACCTGGAAAGAACCTGGTTTAATAACAGCCCACATATATTGAATTTTGTCTTTTATTGAGACTATCATTTGAATGTAACTTACATTTTTTCTTTGCCTGGGGACATTATTTTCTACACCGTTGCTATCATCTGACTTCCTGTGTAGAAAACAAAAAGGAAAATCACCATATGTCTACAATGCTCAAAACTAAGTCAGTACACTGTTCATATCAGGGTTATCAGGGTAAAATGAAAGATTTCAATACAAACTTAGGCTATTCTTAAAAATGTTTTACTTATAATGTTGATTTTATTTTTACACAGCTTGGAGACTAATGCTGTCATGGATGCCAGTAAAAGACTTATGTAGAGGGAGCATCTGGACATATAACTGCACTCATGCATTGTTTCAAAAACATCCAAGAAAGATAATAGCCAATTAGGAACTCACCAGTTTGTGTGACACTGGAGCAATAGTTTGATGTTTATTACATTAAATTAGAGGTTAAACATGGTTCTTTACCTAGTGTGCATCGGAGCAAGACTACAAACATAGGCTTCCAATTCTTATGACTAAATAAGGTAACAATTTTGCATAATGAATGCCCTTACAAACCTTATGAGCAGCCTTGAACTCATTAAGCTATTACCATTAGATAATAAATTCCACCACCCAATCAATAATATGTCAAAATTGGGCACCAGTAGGGACTGCATGGGTCAAATACACAAGTGAATCAGATAAATAAGTGAGCTTCACTGTGAACTATATGATGTTAAACATTTAGTATTCTCTAAGAATCAGTTTCCCCAAGAAACTCCTATCCATCTAAACATATATCGGTATTATATGTAAAATGTTCTATATATAAAATATAAAAATATTTCCTGCCAGAAGAAATTCCTGAAATAATAAGTCTAAAAGGAGCATCGAAGGGCTGGGGATGTAGCTCAGAGGCACCGCACCTGCTTGGAAAGCAAAAGGTCCTGAGTTCAATCCCCAGTACTGAACGGGGAGGTGGGGGACAGACATGGCTAAAGCATTGCTCCAAATGAACTTTAAAATACCCTAGCTACTTGTTCTAATCTAAAGATGTTGAAATAATCTAAAGTGAGACACTTTCAGTGATATATGTGGTAGTTAAGTATGGAGAAAAAATGATGTATATTATCCCAATTTTTTAAAAAATAAAGTCCATTCTTTATATTTTGCATTGAATCATTTTGATACCGCTCCTAAGATATTCTAGGAAAAAAATCAAATAGGGTGTTTAAGTAAAAGGAACTGCATAGAACTGACAGTCCATTCCGACTGTCCTGCGACCATCCTTGCAGAGTGTGTCCTGCAGGAATCACAGTACAGCCACCACCTGTAACCCCAAGAGATGCTGGAGAGGCTGAACTGGGAGAGAAGAATCCAGTAAGGTGACAACTGTCTCCGAGCACGTGAATATCTGCCGTGTGTTTCATAACTCGAAGGATAAGAAGAGGACTAACACATAGGAACCAGGAAGGTTCAAAGTTCAGATTGTGAAGGACAATGTCCAGGTTCTCCAGGAAGGTGGCGGACCTGCCCGTGGAGAGCTGCAGTTCCCTTCCAACTCCAAGTGTTCTAATAAAACACTGCTTTTCCTCTGCCTTGTCTCAAGGAAACCAACTTTCATATCTTTGCACCCCTAACTTGGAAGCTATCTCTTGTTGATTTATTTTACCTGCTATATGGGAACTGAGCCAAAAGAGGCCTGTCTGAATAATGTCTGTGAACAGGAAGTACAAATGTTTGGCCCACTCCTGCTCTGCGGTATGGCTCCTGATGAAGACAGACATCCAGTGTCATTTTGTGCTAGAAACAGCTGCTTAGGCCTCTTGTCTCCCATGTTCTCAGTCCACACCCTACATTTTGTGACTCAAGACCAATCCCCATCTTGGGCACCTCTGTCTCTGGCCTCTCATTCTCTAGCTTGGAGAAACAGAAGCTCCCACCTTCCCCAAACCAAATTACATCCCTGGCAATTTTATTCCCAGTTCTCCTCACATTTTCTACTACTCTGAAAGGGACTAGCACAGAACTTACGGCAAAATTGGCATTCTTTCAAAAATAATTGCTAATAGAGCCGGGGATTTAGCTCAGAGGCACCATGCCTGCCTAGCAAGCACAAGGTTCTTAGTTCAATCCCCGGTACAACAAAAAAATAGTAATAATCACTAATGGAATACAAGGCCAATTGTCCTCAAGGCAACAAAGATCGAGAATCACTAGTAGACATTTTAAGAAATATAGATGCTCAGGCCCCAGTCCCCAAGACTCTGATCTGGGAGATCCAGCAAGATCTGAGCAACTGTATTTCTTTTTTTTTTTTTTTCAGTACCAGGGATTGAACTCAGGACCCTGCTCTTTCGAGGCAGGCACCAGAACCACTGAGCCAAATCCCCAGCCCTTGAGCAACTGTATTTCTAAAGAGTGTCTTCAGTGATCAAAACTATGATCAAAACTACAGGCAGATTGAGAATCACTGAAACTAATAATACTTCCTTAAGGTTACTGAACACTTGGGCAGCAAAGCCTCTGCTAAGTCTTCTTATACATATAAGATCATTTAATCGAACAGATTTATGCGGTAAATGCTATTATGAACCAATTTTGCAGAGGAGAAAACTAAGGCAGAGGAGCGAAAGCAGTAAGCTACGCCTGTATCACAGGCCTGTAGACTCTGGGTGCCTCCCTAACACCACATGGATATGAACACAAAATAACACGCACATCCTAATGAACTCTCAAGCTCTTTTGTTCCTAACTGTAAACATTTCATTCAATTTTGTATTTGTCTGTATTTTACCAAGGGAAAATCTTACAAAAGAATAATACTTACAGCTGCTCAATTTGTTCAAATTCTTTTCCTTCATCTGTGCAACAAAAGAAGAATTTGACAGTTCATCAGGGTTTATTATTTTTTATGGGACATATATGTACAGGTGAACCTGGCCCTGAGGGAGAACACTGTACTGCTTTCCTCTCTGGAATGAAGACAAACATGCTGCCGGAGACAGCTGCACTCCCTCCACCCTCCCTCCCTGTCTGCACTCTGCCCTGTATCTGCACCTCTGATCAAGAACAGGTTAGTACCTGGGGATTTTCAAAAAGATGATTCATTAGTCTATCATAAAGTTATTAAAAATTTAACATAAGTCGGGCATGATGGGGCAAGATTTGTAATAGTAGCACTTATGAAGCTGTAGCAAGAGGATGGCCAGTGTGAACCAGCAAGACCCTGGCTCAATAATTAATTAATTAATTAACTGGATACAAGATCAGGAAAAAATACAGGATGTAAAATGAATTTCCATCGACCACAGGCTATAAAACTAGGAAACTTGACAGAACAGTCTCTCTTCTAATGAGAACTTCAAAATGTTAGATAACGTATTTTTTAGTGACTTACCTTAAGAGAAAACATTTGAGAACTTTTATATCAATGAATCAGATTTTTTTGTAATATCCCATTGTCACAACACACACCCTAACTGGTACTTAGATATCACTAGCACCAAAAAAAATTAATTTTAATACTAAAAAATTTTTAAAGTTGAAACCAGAAGATCAATATAGGCTCACAACTCACTATTACCACTGTTACTAAAAGAAATACTCCTCCAAATAAGATAAACTGGATTTTCCCCAATATTTTAAAGTCACAGCAATGTTTTATCGTAGTATTACCATAATTAGGTGATGTTATCTAAAAGAATCCTACCTGGGTGCTTCTTCTTTTTCTTTTGTGTGTACACTTCACAAAGCAGAATAATAACCACTAAAACAAAAGCTTCAGCAATTATTGCAAGAAATGGTTTGAGGGGCACCAAAAAGCTCAGTACAACAAGCTCAAGCTGCTCCTCACTCTCGCCCAGCTGGAATACTGCATGGCACCAGTAGGACCCCCCATCTTCTTCCAGAAGATGCTTTATCTTTAGCTTTGTTTCATTGCTCTGTGTTCCGCTGACAAGATACTTATCATTCATGTGAACATCAATAGGAACCTAACATAAGGAGACATTAAAATCCATTGCTATCACATTCCACAAAAGACACATACCCTGTTTGACCTAATTTTAAGCAAAGCTGTAACAATGCCAAGAAAACTTCTTACTGGAAAAAGGCATATTAAAGTTTATGAGAAGTTATTTAGAACAGACTTTAAGTCTTACCCAAGTTTGGATCTTCCAGGTAACAGAGGAAGAAATACATTCTGCTGTAAGGATTTTACATTTTGTGTAAAATTTATCAGTGAATACTTGAAACTACAAACAAGTGAGCAGGTCATTACGGGTTAATATTAAAGGAGAATTAAAAACAGGAAAATGCAGCTACCTGGGTTTTACATTCTAATAACTAGCTGGCTTTTCACAAACAGAGGCACTCAGTAAAACAACTACTACCACTGAGGCTGCTATCATTCAGCGTTCATACTAAGGAAATCACTTAACAATGGGACTTTCCCAGGCTGTGACTGTAGCTGAAATCTTCAGCCCTCTGGAGTGGACGCAGAAGGAATGAGCGGAAACCCCCCATGGACTGTTCCTTGTGGTGGCCTGAACCTCTTCCTTCCTCTCACCCCAATTTTTTCTCTCTCCCCACCCTCTTCAGACCCTCTTCTGAGTCTCCAGGTTTTCCCCAGGCTCACAAGCCCCATACTGAGCCACTTGGAAGCTGCTCAACTTCATATATTTACATTAAATTTTAGTCTCAGGCCACTTCATGGCTTCCCTGTACTGAGTCAATGGCACTGCTCAACAAAGGCCAATCTGCATACAATATTCTCAGAGGTTATCTGAGGAACAACTCTGTGAGCTTATTATTTGCACACACACAAAAAAAAATTACAATGACTTGGGCCTGAGTGCCCAGTGATGTCTGGAAGGCTTGTGACAAACACCGTGCTCTCTGAGTCAGAGCTGATGAATCAAAGGGCTGGGTTGAAAATAAGTACACTGCTGGTTCTGATGCACTCTGCTGGCTACAGTCTCAAACAATACTTGACCTAAATTTTGGCCCATTCCCTCTTCCCAGTTCTTTTTTCCATACCCTACTATGAACATGCTTAGGACCAAAGTGAGAAGATAATGATTTGTACAGCAAATGGAGAGCAACTCAAGCATATGTAGCAAATGACATTTCTCAATGTTTAATTTGATTTAGCCCATTGGTTGTCTGGTATCACATATGCATAAATGCCACAGTTGATTATTTGATTTTACAAATATATTACGCTATTTAAAACCTTATATATGCCTGTCCTAATCATCAGTAAGACAAGAAGCAGAAGTATTAATGGATTAAGTATGTATCTATACAATCTGGAGCTCTTTTCTTCAAAAATTAAACCAATGTTAGCACACAGTCACTCTCCTTTCCAAGTCCTTCCTTCCTCTGCCAACCTTCAACAGTCTAGCACCAATTTTACCTCAGAAGGAATCTAATATTTCATTGCAAAATCCATTCTGTCTCTCATGTTCCTTTTAGAATTATAGCTCACCTTTAACATGACTTTAATTTAAATGATCATTAGCACCAGGGTGAGAGAAAAATGTTCTCTAAAGGATGATGTCTGAAATTCTCCAGTCACTCGAGGTTATTTGGGAGAATAAAGAAAGCTGGAAACAATTTATTGAATACCCCTGTATTTCTTCATATCAGCTTTTTCTCTAAGATATATCAGCTATTTCTCTATCAGCTATTTCTCTAAAGTAAAAAAGAATTAAAATGTACTTTATCCCTTTTCTCCAGTACATAAAAAGCCAAATAAGATCAATGGTATTTACACTAAGATCTAAGACCTAACTTTTTTCCCAGTTATATATTTTAACTTTCTTCTGTATTATTTTTAATTTTATTATTTCCCATTCTCCCCCTCAAACTCCCTCCCCTCTCTATATGTACAAAAGCTTTGTTTCCAGTTTTTCCTTCTATTTTCACTTTTTTCTTGCCCCTTCCTTCCTTTCTCCCCCCTCCCTTGTTCCCCTTCCTATTTGAACACTTTCTTCCCATTTCCCAACATCCATTATACAATCTCAGTCCTGATATCCACACTCAATTTCTCATACAATAGAAACAATGCAGTATTTAAACATCTGTATCCGCTTCATTTCACTTAAGAGTATGGCTAAGATTTAACTTTTACCTATCACATTTTCATTCTTTTACTTTTTTTGGGGGGGGGGGCATTACTAGCAATCGAACTCAGGACCTTGTGCTTGCAAGACAGGCACGGGTGCCACTGAGCTAAATCCCCAGCCCATTCCATTCCTTTTTCTAAATGATGCTCTAACCTTATATTCTACCAGACATTTCAGGACACAGAAACCCAGAAGACAGCCTTTTTTTTTTTAGTTACTTTCATGAAAGATAAAAGAATCTTTTCTGATGGGGTTATTTCTAAACTGGTCAACCAAACATGAACTGGAAATTCCTTTCTAAGAATTTAAATAAACTGCTACACCTAAAAAAACAAAGTACAAATTAATGAAACATTAAGAATATCTTCAGATATAAAATGTAATATGCTAAACACATCAAATGATGGCTCCATTTATCACTGTTCCTTATGAACACATATTAAAGAATAAGATTGTGGAAGTGGAAGTCATCCTAGGAATTGTGAGTATTATCTTGTTATTTATGAACTGAAGGGGTATTTCTGTTTTCTTCAAATTAAAGAAATATGATCTTACCTGTACACTCCCATTACTTCTGTACCAGGTCCAATGTAAAGGAAAGCAATGTTGACATTTACACACCAAGACAGTAGAGTCATCCACATAAGTGATCAATGGCTTGTTTTTTCCATGAAGTTCAGGAACTAAGAGAAATTCAAAGAAATGCGCATTACCAAAATAGTTTAAGCAAAAGAAATGTACTGTTTGAAGACATTATTTTATTTTCTCATTAATATATGATTTTCTGGGCCAAGGATTTAGCTCAGTGGCACCGTGCCTGCCTTGCAAGTGCAAGGACCTGAGTTCGATCCCTGGTACCAAAAAACAAAAACAAATATATGATTTTCTTTATGTCATCTTAGTTATATATAAAATGAAAGTAAATTATAGGCATTAGGGTGTACTCAGTATTAGTAATAATGGCAGTAGTTAGCTAGCTCTAATACAACTGCCTCCAAGGTAGAAATGGAAGAAAAGTCTTCTGTGACTGAGCCTGATAATTAGTTATTACAACATGTTCCATGTTTCAAGTAAGAAAAAAGCTTCATGTTCTCAAGTTTATAGTCTTTCTTCCCACCTACTATGTTACCTAGGACCATTCATTTTCTTCTTTACCTTTAAGTGGCATTTTGAGAGAAAAGAAAAAATTTCCAGGCTAGAATAATCCTTAGTTCACACAAATTTATATGAAAAGCCAGCAAATAGTGTGAGAACATAAAGAAACAAAGGAAAATTAAGAGAAAAGAGTGTAAGAAAATGAGATTTACAGACACACATGTTTAAATATCGCAGTTTCTCTGGTGTGAGAAAATAAAAGTGGAAATAAGGACTAAAATGTATACGAAATACTGGGAAATGGGAAGAAAATGTTCAAATGGGATAGGGAACAAGGCAGGGGGAGGAGAAAGGAAGGAAGAGACAAGAAAAAAAGGTGAAAATAGAAGGGAAAAATGGAAACAAAGCTAATATAAAGGGGGGGAGGGGGATCGAGGGGAGAGGGGAATGGGAAAAAGAAGCAGTAGGATATATCATGTACAGGTACAAATTCCCTATGAGAGTTACCATTATGTGTACCTAAATGCACCAATAAATGTTTTGCTTCATAAATAAATAAATAAATAAAAATAAAACGAGATTTAAAGGGCTGGGTATTTAGCTCAGTGATTCTGGCGTCTGCCTCCCAAGAGCTAGGTCCCGAGTTCGATCCCCAGTACCAAAAAAATGAGATTTAAAAACAACTGCATGTTGATTTGTAAGAACTGATATACTAATATTCATTGTGATAAATTTAAGTCAACAAAATATGAAGCAGATATCATCAATAACTAATGAGCACTGAACTTGGAAAAATTAAATTTTAAAGATGTCAACAATTTGGTTAAGCAAATTAAAAAACACAAGCAGTGCAATAAAAACCTCTGAATTGCCTGCATGATGAACAGTTCTTCTGAATGACTTCAAAGGATGTATTACAGAATATACACTGACAATGGAGATACAGACTTAACAAAAATTACGTTTGTTAATTCTTAAATTAATTTTAGTATGTTTTCACTTTTATGTTGTTTTTTTACTTATCTTTTATTTGATTAGTTTACCAATAGAGGAAGTATGAAAGTAAAAATTTTTTACACTACATTGACAAATTTTACAGATGTTCAAATTCTTAATCTATTTTTAGATTTTTATATTTGAGAGGGCCAGGGTAAGAATTAGATCAATTTCAATTGCTAGTTGGGTTTCAAGATTAAATATATTTTCAAAGGGCTTCTCAGTTTCTACTACCCAAAAAAAGAACTGTACTGATGGATGTATGAATTGTAAAGATGACCAAGCAAGTAAAAATGGTAAGAAATGACAAAGATATTCTAATTTGTGTAACCCCTAAATAAGAGGTAAAAGGTATGGCTGGAGAGCCAGTTTTCTTCATGGGTTGTTATTCAGTGATTCATGTTACAATAGTGAATGAAGCAAGCCATTTTTTTCTTTATGTTATGTTTAAAGTGTGCTTGAATCACTAGATATAATTGCAGATATTTCCCTGTTCTTCATCAGGACTGTTGGCTAGGAAAGGACTGGATGAAGCACTGCTAATGATAAAGAGATACACATAGACAAAGGTATGTCACCTGTGAAGGCATAAATCTTTCAATAATCATAAGAGAAGTAAGCAGAGCAATTTCTAATTCATTGTTGCCATACGTTTCATAACCAAGGAAGCATTTTTGTATTAAATTAAATAGTCTATAATTCTACATTAACCTGAAGGCATGAACTACCAATCAGAATTTGTGTTCACCCCATGAAGAGTCTATGGACAGCAATGGAGAAACTCCTAGGGTGCTCCTGAGATACAAGACAGGAGACGTGAATGCCTGTGACTACCTTAGGTGCTGGTAATTACATTCACCACAGCCAGAGGAAACTGGTTGCTTGACTTTCAGATATTCTGAACATTTCTTCTGACAGACTAACTCACCCTCTCTACTGGCTACCATTAACCTGAGTAGGGTGGTGTTCATTTCAAAGGTCAGGTCATGAATGTTTGAAGGAGTCAACAAAATGTGACAATGACAGGACAGATAAGATTGGGTCCGCTAAATATTTGACTTAGAATTACAGCTTTGGTGCTAAATACTTTAGAGGATGTGGCTCATACCAATCCGACAATGGCGTTTGTTGTAAAGAATTAAATAAGAGCCCATAGTATATATAAAGTGCTTGATGGTGGTCATACCTATGCTACAATGGTGTTTGTTGTGCTTGGTGCACGGTAAATGCCAACAATTTCAAACTTTCATTGGGATCATGCATTGATACTGATTTCTTAATTACACTTTCCCATCCTTCACCATGCCCATGATCTTCTACGCTGTGGTCATTAGCCAATTTAACAGTATCAATTATGTTTACATGGAAAAACAACTTCTAAGCCCACTGGCCTATGGAGAAGAGAAAAAAATAAATCCCAGAGATAGAGATAGACAGAAAGAGAACACTGGGAATTGACTTGAATGTACCGCAGAACTATAGGAATAATGGATATAAACTAAATCTAAGTACCCAAGAATGAAGAAAAGGCTCCAAACTGAATCCTTTTATGAACCACTCAGTCCATCTCAAAAAGGAGGTTGAAAGAGTAAAATGACAGTATTGTACACCTAAAATGTACCAATAAAAGGATATACAAAAAAAAAAGTAAAATGACAAAAAGTAAAGAATGAAATAAATAGGCGATCAGGGCCAGCAAAAGAGTGAAAAGACAGTAGCTTTGAGATGCGAGTGATGGTTGTAGTCCATCCTTGAACAACACATAGGAAACAACTTTTCAGCAAAGCTATCGAAAAAATTCCACCGTTCTAACCATACATTCAAGTTTGTGGCTAAAGCAGTTAAACAAGATTATGCTTGTATAAGTTTTTTTTTCTCCCAGTACTGGGGATTGAACCCAGGACCTGGCACTTGCCAGGCAGACACGGTGCCACTGAGCTATATCCCTGGCCTTGCATTTAGAATAATCTCAATCCAGAGCACCTAGTCACCATTCCTTACTGATAATAAGAAATGAAATGGGTTAAAAAGTTCAAAATAAAATCTTGTTTCCAGACCTGTACAGTATGTGAAGCAGAAAGAATACATGGACTAGTTTAACACATTATTTAAAAACCTATGAGTAAAAAAGGAAATAGTCAATTCACCATATTGGTTTTAATGCGAATGGGTAGGAAAAAAATCAAATACTTTGATATGACCAAAAACTAAATTTTTGATTAAAAAGACAATTCCAGTCTAAATGTCTTTTAATTAAAAGAAATGATAATAAAGAGGTCTTTCTCGAGTAGGTGTTCTGCCCTATTCAGTCCAACCAAGGGCCAGGGATTTAGCTCGGTGATTCCGCCCCCTGCCTTGCAAGGCTAAGGTTCCAAGTTTGATACCCAGTACCAAAAAAAAGACAAGAAAAGTCCAACCAGTTCTGTTAGTTTGGTTCAATTTCCTCAGCCCTCAGCTACCACTTCAGAACCTATTCATAAATTCAAATAGCACTGACATACAGAAAATAATCAATGTAAGAAAACTGGAAACAATTCTTGGATCCAAGAAAATAAGTCAACCATCTGTTTTGATAGTCATGTAACAAGCACATTTTAAGTTCTTGAGAAAAAAAAATGATTAAATGTCAAAATGTTAAAGGCTCAATTAGAGTGAATCACAAAGCATTTTATTCTGCATTGTTTTTCTTGTGGCAGGACCCATTTTTTTGCACTAGATATTGAAGGTTGTGGATAGAGAAGGCTGGAAAGCAGTCTATGGACTGCTAACCTCTACATAAAGTCCTTCTTCTCATCCCTCCTATATTCCAACCCTAGAGAGGAAGATTGTCTCAGGCTAGTCATGCTCCAGGGCACTGACTGTGCCCTGTTTTCTAGAACTGGAAATGTGTGAGCATAAATCACTTGGCCCAGGCTCAGTTTCCCCTCCTTGGTTCAGGTGAGTATGTCTTCTTCTCTAGAGTAAAAGGACCGAACTGAGTTTGGGTTATGAAGCAATAGACTAGTCTACTTTGGTTGCAGGTTAGTTATGTCAAGCTAAGGAAGAAGTCAGCTGTCCATTCATTCAGTAAAGCCTTCCAAGGATTTCTACACCAAAGCTTATGTCCAAGGTTGGCCAATGCTTTTTGTGAATTTCCATATCTGAGATTCAGTGGTGAGAAGGACTGACTAGACCAGTGAAGGACAAAGTTATTCCTGGATATCCTGACAAAGCACTATCAATCTACTGGCTCAATACCACTTCCCAATTGTACTTGTTTCAAAAATACCCATCACATTTTGCCGCCTGCTGTGCAAGTGCAAGGACCCGAGTTCAATCCCCGGTACAAAAAAAAATACCCATCACTGGCTAGGGATATAGCTCAGTGGTGCCGCACCTGTCTGGCAATTGCAAGGTCCTGAGTTTGATCCCTGGTACCAAAAAAATTAAAAAGAAAAATACTCATCACCTAACATGGTTTTTATTAATTAGATGAAACATGAGAACACAGAAGCATTTGAGGGTTATTGTTTCCCTTGGAAAGATCAACCCTATTTTAGAAGAGGTGTCAATTGGAGACCTGTAGATTAAGCAAGGATTAGAGCTTGGCTAA